TTCTGATGTAGGTGTTTATATTGTGGTTAGAGGTATGTTCTTGTTTTATATATGCCAAGTTCTATGCCACAACTGAAAAATTTATTTCTCTATAATTACTTTATAGAAATTGAATCATAAATGGTCTTCAGTAAATTTCTGATACGTTAGTATATAAGAACCGTTCTTTTATGCATTTCTAATAAAAAGGTTCTGTTGTAAGTGACCGGTGAAAGTATGAATTCAAGATCAATAGGAAACTATCTCTTTTTTTATCCTCGAAAATATATTGAGAAAAAAAATATATCCTGAATATATTCAAAATCATTTCATCATGTTCTTTGAAATATATCTTCTAAATCCATGGATTATAACTTTGGTATTTATATTTTTCAAGTCGATTTTTTTCAATCAAGTATTGATTCCCAAAGAATTCACAATACTATATATCTCAACCTTTTATAAAATATAAAAATATGAATATTGTCAATGACTGTTTAATCATTTTAATATCTGTTGTTTGAACCATCATGTATTGAAACCAGCGCGAGTACATAACCCGTATCTCATTCGAACAATACATTTTCGATACTTATCTAAAGATTAGTTTTTATCCTGTAAAACAATTAATATTTTTATATTATTATAGTAAATTATGGACAAAACTCTTAAAATAGTGGAATGTCTTTAATATCACCGGTCGCCTGTTTTTTTTTAGAGAGACAGAAGCAATTTTGTTCACACATTTTGTATCTTCAATAAAGGTCACTGTGTATCAAATATCTTTCAGAGTTATTGTCTGAATCTCGATACATTCTAGAAAGTAACTCCTAAACTTTCGGCTATGAGTATACTATACTCTTCGTATCGCTAACAAAGTGACAATATTATTGTTAATGTATAGTTTCTATCAAGGCTATTATTATCTTCGGCCTGTCACTGAGTAGTGCTCCCAGTCTTGATGACAAAGGCAGACGCATTCTAATTCACCCAGTGTGGAGATAAGAACGAAGAAGAAGAAGATCTTCTAAAGTCTACAGGCTTAACCTTTTGGTAAATGAATATCATTCTTATCCTCAATATCTATTTATTTAGTTAAATCACCAATAGGATATATAAGGTAATAGAGGGTTTAGGGTCGTAATCGAATAATAGCTGTTTCAGAATTCTGCATCAAATGAATCATCGAATTTAAGATACATTTAAAGGCATAGATATAAAGGATACCTATATTAATATTTTCATCTTGAATTGATTCACTTTTATCTATCACGGAGAATAAATCAATAATATATTTTATTCTTACCTGAACCACGAAGAAAAAAGCAAAAGCTGCCACAAAAAACATCCCCTATTTAAGATGAAAATCTCTGTGCAGCAGCCTCAAGCGGCTACTTATATAACTTTAAATAACCACCTGTAATTTTTCCAGATGTGAGAGAAAAATCTCAATGAATAAATCACTAGAATACATTTGATATTTAGATTCAGAAATCTATTTGAATATAAATTCTGACCCCTATATATTAGACATATAAACTTTTACGGCAAATTAAAACATTAAGACGTGAATGTTTCTTTCACAAATAAGACAAACCTCTACTGTCCTTACTAAAATGAAAAAAAATATTCGGAGGGCTTAGCTTATCAATGGTGAACCCTGCCAGCGATTAAGCCAATATTATAAACCAGACCACTTCTTTAGAGCTCTAATACTGTATTGGATTATTCTGATTATATTTGCTACACTGGAGGGTTGAATCTTAGAAATGGTATTCGAGGAAACTATGGACATAAGCTCTTAGAACAGTATAATTATATATAAAATTTGCATCAAGCAATGCTTTTCCGCAAACAATAAGGAAAAGACCAGTTAGGCATAAATTAATATAAAGTTTTATACACTGAAGTGTAGAATATATAAGCAGAATGTCCCAATACAGTATTGGAACTCTAAAAAAGCAGTCCTGTATATTGAATTAGCGAAACTGCTGAGAGGGTTTACCACTAATGAGCCAAACCCTTCCAATATTTTTCATCATAGTAAGGACAGTAGAAGTTTGATATAGGTGCAAAAGAAACATTTTCGTCTTAATATTTTCATTTGATGTATATAGATGGCGCGTTATTGCATTATATTTCCTTTTAATAAACTTTAAATTTTCCTTTTTTTGAGATTTAAACTACAGAGAATCATTGGCTACTCTTCTTTCAACAAGTAAAAAAAGTATATATGAATAAAGTAAATAAAATATAATTTTATTAAATTAAATTGGCTCTATTTATTTAGCTAAAAATTTAGTATAGAATCGGTGTTTTTATTTTGTGACGTCAAGTATCTAGATTTTTTCTTGATTATACAAAAGAAAATAATGAAATTGACTCATCATATAGAGAAACAATATTGTCAAGGAGCTCCATCCAGATGGGACACCTGTCAATCATCCATGGACCCCCGGGGGGGAGGGGGACCACAGGTGTGAGGAGTTCTCGGAAGCTGATCTGTAAATAAGGAAAACGGGACGGTGGCTGACGCCGTTCATTAGGATTATCTTTAACTTAGGGTAAGTTGTACACTCTCTCTCTCCCTATAAATACCTCTTATAATAAATTAATTATCCCCAAACTTGCCCTTGCTTTATTGATCTCCGCGACAATATTATATTACCCTACATAGCCGCTCTAGAAGATCGGATTTGATATATTCATTAGATATATTTATTATTTTCCTTCTTATACTAAACTCGAAAATTGAGAAAAATCATGGGGTAGCCTTATCAGGTAAACAACGATTGAGGCCTGTATAATAAAAGACCTGAGTAAGCTGAGAGCTGCGTTTTACGACAAAATAGACGATTGGAATAAAATAAAAGAGATATGAATATATTCATCAGAATAAGGAATTGAGAATTTGAGTAGCTGCATGTGAAAACTATATATATCATCAGATAATAACGCTAATTCTTTTTCAGTGAACTATGAAAAGATTAGAGAAAGGAATAAGTGAATGGAGTTCGTATAGATGAGAAAATGTGAGAAAATATTAGATTTTTAATAGAAGCGAAGGCAAAAAGAAAACAAAACTCCAAATGAATAACTATTGTCGCGCGTTTCCTCTATGGTTCTTCGCGACGACGCCGTTTCCTCCACCGTGGATCACCTACCCTGGCTCCGTTGCTTCACCTCTGCAGCCCTACCCTACAGTCAGTCCAAAGGCCCCCTGATAACACGAGAGACTTGTCAAAAGGGTAGCTATTGTGGTGTTGGAGAGAAAGTAACAGCAACACGCAAAAGTTTGCTAACACTTCTTCTTTTATTGTCATCTTTAATTCACATTACATAAGAATTCGAATATCAATTAACACTATTTATAATGAAATGATTATTATAATTGGAAAATGAGAGACAATTGATAAAATCAAGAAAAGCGAATGCTGAAGGCAATCCAAGAGGGTTAGAACACCTTTACTCGCTGGAATACCCGAACATGCTAAAAGAATAAAAGGGTAATCGAGAACTTATTTAGATTTAAAGTCTTGTGAATTTACTTGAACAAAGATTACCCACTCAGGCAACAACACAGCCTGCTGATAGCCAAAACAGAAATAGAAAAAACATATGAGTATGGAATGTAAAAATGAAAGAACCTACGAGAATGGAATCTAAAAAATTGACAACAAACTAAATGTTATTGGAATAAGTTATCATGCTTTTAAGGTTTTTTTTATGCTTATTCCTAGTTCACGTGGTCGAGGCCATGATAATCATGGTAGTTAGCGACTGGTGTTACTGTAAGTGCACCACATGTCTACACATGTGAATAGCAGTTCGACTTTGCACTTACAAAAGTGCCAGAGCCCCGTTTGATTGCTTGCACTCGCTGGTGGGGTTGAACCTTTGCAAGAATCGGAGGCCATTGGAATTTTTTTCTTTTAATCGAACCCGGGTCGTAGCAGTGGCAAACCAACGGTTTAGACCATCCTTCTACCGAACCCCATGCTTTTGACGTTGAAATTGCTAACTTAAAAGGTGATAAGTTATAGCAATTGGGGGCGAATAAATTGAAACTATCACAATATTACTCGAATCTACGAATTATAAAAATTAACAATTTACACTTTAAGATAATAATAAACACTTAATCAATTAAAAATCATCAATATCTACTTACTCACATCCCCTCATAGGGGATTATCTACTGGAACATATATATTCTTTAGAATAAGTTCATTTTTTCCGCTCATTGAATTTTTTAGAGTTTATTATTATTTTTAAAATATTACAAATTTATTGAATTTTGACTAGAAGTTGGTTACTTGTAATAACAGAAAGGTTAGGTTGTTTTTAGTAATGCGAAGTATCGTTAACCTGTAGATTTATATGTATGATTATATATATTGAATTGATTACATATATTTATATGTATGATTTATATGTATGTTAGATTTATATGTATATTCATATTGTAAATACTTTGATGTTTTTTATTTCGTTTCATTTTGGTTGGATTCAATAATGTAAACCATTTTGTTACTAGTGAATATTTGAGGTGAACTCTTAATTTTCAGAAAGACCAAAGTTTTGAAGTTTTAACACTTTTTTATTGTAAAAGTAAATAATATTCTGATAGTATTTATTTGTTTATGGCCTAAAAATAATTATTTTATTGAAGAATATATTAATATGAAGCTGTAAGAAGTAAGAAGTAAACCTCAAGTGAGAACTACAATGCCTGAAGCTTTAAAAGAGATCAAATTGGAGATTAACAAAGAATACCCATCAAAAGAATTCAATCAGTATAGTATGGAATTTAGAAAGGTTATATAGAAATCTGGTAAATAAAAATTAATTAATGAAAACAAAGAAACGACTATAAATGTTGAAATGACAATTTTCTGAGATTTATAAATATAACAATAATATAATTATTTTGTTGGTTCTTCTCCTTTATTTTCAATCTCCGCCATGATGTTGATTATGGCGATTAAACCCCTTCTCACCTACAAAATGTGGCTTTAAAATGGCCAACACAAACTATTATCTTGTACTTATGTTCTTTATCCCGTACACGATGCTAAAATCGTATTAACCAGTGACCTGTTACCTCGCTGTCTGTTACATTGTATATAAATAGATGTCTTAGGTAGTTAGTAGTTGTTGCCTTTTTTGTCGCTACGTTAGCGCAGTAAGTAGCGCGTCATTCTCATTATCTGAAGGTTGTGAGTTCGATCCTCACACAAGGCATTTTTAAAATTAATTTTGGGCTTAAAATTCATACACTTTATTTAGTAATCCGTAAAACTATATTCCCTTTGTCTCTCTTAGTAATTGTATGCTATCTTACGTTTTAGTATGAAGCTGGTTACCTTTCAATAAAATCCTCTGGTGATCAGTTCCTTCTCCATTCTTCCTCTTTTTCAACAGTTTTGCTTCATCATAAAAGGTTTAACTTATCATTCTGAATAAAAAATTTAACAATAACAAAAAGGCTTTTATTAGGACCATTTCCCTGTATGGATTCGCCATACAACAACAAAATAATACAGTAATGTTTCTTCCCTTTCTCCCTGTGCACGTGAGCCTTTGTTTGAAAAGGGAGAATACACAATATAATAATAATCTTTCCAATATTAATAATTCAGATCATTTAATGTTACATTGCTACTCTCTTTTTAGAGAAATTTTTATTCAGATAACTTTATATAATTACTTGGCCAGTGGTTCATTGTTGTTTAGATCTTTTTCCTCCTGTCCAGATGATATAAAGTATGGTTTCATTAATAATATGCGAACGATATCTTCGTTTCTAAGTCGTATTACCTGTTATCTTAACTTTTATATAGTCTTATCTAACTTATATATAGTATTTATTCAGAATAGTCTTTAGTTACGAGTCCAGTTTCTTATTGTGTCCTTACGAACGTCGCAAACGTGTCTGGAGACGTGTCGGGCAGCGTTTGGATTTTAGACTACTTTTGAACACCACCAAGGTCCACGACAGGGCGTTATGGTCTAAAGTGTCATTTCATAATTTTTAGCAGGACCTCATTGGTAGTCATTCCTGGCACCCTGACATCACAACGATACGTATATGACATTCTATGGCCTGTGTTGAAGTCTTTCCTCTAATTTCACACTGGGCTTACTTTACAACAAGATAATGCCGGGTCACACATAGCAAGTGTTACTATGGTTTTCTTTAATCTTTCCAAACTCTACAGTGACAAGCAAGATCGCCTGATCCCTCGCTCATAGAGAATATCTGGAACGTGATGGAATATAGATTTAGAACATCCTAGATTTCAGGATATTTAGCTCTATAGTTGGAAGCAATTTGGCGAAAAATCCCGAAGCACACCAACCGTAATCTTTATCAGTCCATGATACACCGAGTCGAAGCCTGAAATCCTGGCCAGTTGGGATCCAATGACATATCGACTTTATTAATTTATGATAGAGAAACTATGTAATAAAACAATTGTTCTGATATTTTAATCGTTTTTATTTTTATGTTTTCACATATTCCAAATTTGGTCTCAATCTAACAAATATTTCTTGGTGAGCCATGCGCGATTCTTTTGTTATAGAGACTCTATATATATATTAGTATATAGTCATATCTCCCATCAAATATCAACCAAATCAATACATTATGTATATTAAAAATAAAAAAGACATATCCTGACCATGAGCACATGTACTTTTCAGAAAGAAAAGCGCCATCTGGTGGATCAGAAATCAACTATTCATTGATTTAACCAGTTCCCTGATATTTGGCCAACCCAATTTCTTGATAAATCAAGAAAAGCCATCCATATGGACAAAACTCTCAAGGAAGTGGAAAGTCTTTAATATCACCAGTCGCCTGTAATTTTGAGTGAGAGTGTCAATTTTGTTCACACTTGGTATATACATACACTATGGTAATAAAGGTAACTGAGTATCAAATATCTCTCAGAGTAATTGTCTGAATCTCGATACATTCTAGAAAGTAACTCTTAAACTTTCTGCTATGAGTATAATATACTTTTCCTATTGCTAACACAGTAACATAATTATTGTTAATGAATAGTTTCTCTCAAGGCTATTATTATATTCTAAAGTCTACATGGCTAGCCTTTTGGTAAATGAATATCATGCTTGTCCATAACATCTATTGAATTAGTTCAATTACCAAATTATGATATATAAGGTGATAGATGGATCAGGGTCGAAATCGAATAATAGCTGTCTCAGACTTCTGCATCAAATGAATCATCGAATTTAACATACATTTAAAGGCATAGATATAATGGATACCAATATTAATAATTTCAGCTTGAATTGATATACATTAATCTATCACTAAGAATAAATCAAGAATATAATTTATTCTTACCTGAAACCACGAAGAGAAAAGTAAAACCTGCCAGAAAAAAACATCTCCTACTTGAGATAAAATTCTCTGTGCAGCAGCCTGGAGAGGCTACTTATATAACTTTAAATAACCACCTGTAATTTTTCCAGATGTGAGATAAAAATCTCAATGAATAATTTACTGGAACACATTTAATATTTAGATTCAGAAATCTATTTGAATATCAATTCTGACCCCTATATATTGGAAATATCTAACTTTGCAGCAAATGAAATCATTAAAACGCGAATGTTTCTTTCACAAATAAGACAAACCTCTACTGTCCTTACTAAAATGAAAACATATTGGGAGGGCTTGGCTTATCAATGGTAAACCCTGCCACCGGTTTCACCAATGTAATCAACCAAACCACTTCTTTAGTTCTTAATACTGTATTGAATCATTCTGATTATATATGCTACACTGGAGGGTTGAAACTCAGAAATTCTTTTCAAGAAAACTATGGACATAAGTTCTTAGAACAGTATAATTATATATAAAATTTGCATCATGCAATGCTCTTCCGCAAACAACAAGGAAAAGACAAGTTAGGCATAAATTAATATAAAGTTTTATACACTGAAGTGTAGAATATATAGGCAGAATGACCCAATACAGTATTAGAACTCTAAAAAATCAGTCCTGTATATCGAATTAGCGAAACTGCTGAGAGGGTTTATCACTAATGAGCAAAACCCTCCTAATATTTTTCATCGCTGTAAGGACAGTAGAAGTGTGATATAGGTGCAAAAGAAACATTTTCGTATTAATGTTTTCATTTGATGTATATAGATGGCGCGTTATTGATTTATATCTACTTTTAATGAACTTTATATTTTCACTTTTTAAGATTTTAAACTTCAGAGAATCATTGACTACTCTTCTTTCAACAAGTAGAAAAAGTATATATGAATAGGGTAAATAAAATATAATTTTATGAAATTAAATTGGCTCTATTTATTTAGCTAAGTATTTAGTATAGAATCGGTGTTTTTATTTTGTGACGTCAATTATCTAGATTTTTTCTTGATTATACCAAAGAAAATAATGAAATTGACTCATCATATAGACCAACAATATTTTCAAGGAGCTCCATCCAGATGGGACACCTGTCAATCATCCCTGTACCCCGGGGGACCACAGGTGTGAGGGGTTCTCGGAAGCTGATCTGTAAATGAGGAAAACGGGACGGTGGCTGACGCCGTTCATTAGGATTATCTTTAACTTGGGGTAAGTTGTACACTCTCTCTCCCTATAAATACCCTTTATAATAAATTAATTATCCCCAAACTTGCCTTCGCTTTATTTATCTCTGTGACAATATTATATTACCCTACATAGCCGCTCTAGAAGATCGGATTTGATATATTCATTAGATATATTTATTATTTTCCTTCTTCTACTAATCTCGGGTATTGAGAAAAATCATGGGCCTAGCCTTATCAGGTAAACAACGATTGAGACCTATAAAAAAGGCCTGAGTAAGCTGATAGCTGCGTTTTACGACAAAATAGACGATTGGAATAAAAGAATAGAGATATGAATATCTTCATTAGAATAAGGAATTGGGAATTCGAGTAGCTGCATATATAGCTCATCAGTGATAAATCCTCTCAGCGGTTTCGCTAATTCAATATACAAGACTGCTTTTTTAGAGTTCTAATACTGTATTGGGTCATTCTGCTTATATATGCTACACTTCAGTGTATATAGATTTATATTTATATATGGCTAACTAGCCTTGTCCTTATTGTTGGCGGAAGAGCATGGCTTCATGCAAATTTTTTATATAATTCTACAGTCCTAAAAGCGTATGTCTATAGTTTGTTATATCATTTATGAGATTCCACACTTCAGTATATATCGGTAGATAATAACGCTAAGTCTGTTAAAAGAACAATAAAAAGATTAGAGAAATGATAAGCAAATGAAGTTTGCATAAATGAAAAATAAAGAAAATATTAGATTTTTATAGAAGCGAATGCAAAGAAAACAAAACTCCAAATGAATTATTATTGTCGCGCGTTTCTCCTCTGGCTCTTCGCGACTTTAAGACTTAAAGTCTTATGAATTTACTTGAACAAAGATTACCAACTCAGGCAACAACACAGCCTGCTGATAGCCAAAAAAAAAAAGAGAAATAATATACGATTATGGAATGTAAAAATGAAAGAACCTACGAGTATGGAATCTATAAAATAGACAACAAACTAAATGTTATTGGAATAAGTTATCATGCTTTTAACCTTTTCTTTTTGATTATTCCTAGTACATGTATTAGAGGTCATAATAATCATGGTTGGTAGAGTTAGCGACTGGTTTTACTGTAAGTGTACCATATGTCTACACATGTGAATAGCAGTTCGACTTTGCACTTAAAAATGTGCCAGAGCCCCGTTTGATTATTTGAACTCGCTGGTGGGGTTGAACCATTGCAAGAATCGGGGGCCATTGGGGATTTTTTTAATCAGAATATAGTACCCAATGTGAGAATCGAACCCGGGTCATAGCGGTCGCAAACCAACGGTTTAGACCAACCTTCCACCGAACCCCATGCTTTTGACGTTCAGATTGCTAACTTAAAAGGTGTTGAGTTATAGCAATTGGGGGCGAATACACTGTAACTATCACAAGATATCTCAAATTCACGAACTAAAAAAATTACTAATTCAAACTTTAAGCTAATAATAAACACT